CAAGCACACCCAATAATGTATGCTCTGTAGATCCCCAACCACACAAGAACGTTTGCTCTATAGATCCCCGCCTGTTGGCATGGCCCCCGGGGGTGCTTCGCCTCCGCCCCCCGCCCCCGCGGCGTCTTGGAACTCCTCCAGCGGGATGTCTTCCTCTTCCTCCGCCGCGTGCGTGAGCCGCTTGCGATCCGTAGGTGCGCGCCATCTTGGAAGATCATGCAAAAGGCCCCACAGAAGGAAAAAAGGTCGAAAACACGGCACGCCGCGGCAGGCATCCGCAAGGGTGGGTGGCGAGGCCAAACGCAAAAGCAGCATGTCCAAAACAAACAGGGCACGCCTCCACGGCACTTGCAATACTGGGTGAAACACCGTCAAGGGTCGCACGCGCACGGGACTGGACGCCACGGTTGGAAGACCGCAATTAACGTCATCCTACGAAGTTGCCAAACGGTGCTACAACTGGTGTGGAAAGCCGACAAAATCACGCAGCAGTCTCTTGATTCTCTAGACCCATACACATACACGAGATGTACTACCCTGGAAGGGAACGGGGTTAGCCTCGAGGTCTTGAGGTTTGGACTGGGATTCAACCAAAGGGTGTCGGGGCAATCGTGAAACAAATTCAGCAAGGGATCACAAACTGAGCGCACAGAATGGCCGATCTGAATGACTCAACGAGTTCTGTTGCAAATCGGGAACTGCGCATGAGCGAACAACAATGACCTCTTCTGTGTGCCTCAACTCAACCAGCTCTTGTCATAATGATGACGCAAACGGGAACAGCATATGGTGTCTCGCACCTTCTCCTGGGAAGCAGCGTGACAGCTACGGTGTCCCCGTGGATCGACCTGTTCATGCCCTCCCTCCCGGCGACCAAAACCTTGCACACATGGACGCGCGGGCATCAGCAGTGACAGCAGCAGCAGCAGCAGCAGCAGCAGCAGCAGCAGCAGTAGCAGCAGCAGTAGACAGAGAAGAAAATAGCGTGTTGGCACAACGCCGCCTCACATCGACGGGAATCGGACAAGGACGACCAAAACAAGATTTACACGACAAAAAGGTAAAAATTTCCGACACGGCTACGACCACAAGTCCAAACCAGAGAGCGAGGCCAAAAGCCACTGAGGAAGAACAAAAAAACAGCGCGTAGACCAACGATTCCGGCGGGTGGAGTGATCTTGCTCTTCAAAATCACCTTGGCCCGGCCGGAGGCATCCGTCCACCCGTCCAAAGCAGCCCCCCCGCCCGCACCAACCGCAATAACCCCTTCCTTGGGGTTGTGCTCGAAAACGTCGAGCCTTCCCTTCGACGCAGCGCCGCTGGCGATGAGAGCCTCCAGCTGGGTCTTGGACGGGTGCGGCTTTTGCAGGGGGGATGACGTTGTCGCCGTCCCCGTTGCGGGCCCCCCTCCGGCCTTCGACGATGGCGTCGTGGCGACCTGTATATATCATATTCGCGTTGGTATCGTTGTTGTGGTTGTTGTTGTGGTTGATGTTGTTATTGTCTTGCCTTCCCGACTGGACACACAGAACTCCTACAAGCTCCGACCGACTGTACGTCATTCCAGTGCCGTGCTTGGGTGCGTCCTAACGTAACCGCTACCCAGGTCAAAACGATCTTGAGAGCAACCACACACACGCGCGCGTGAGCCAAAACACGTGACAAACAAGAGCAAAGCGTATATGCACACAAAGCCTCCCTCCACTATACACGGAACCGCATAACCGCATACAAGGCCGAGTTCACACCTTGCAAGAGAGGTGGGCCCGTCGAAGCAGATCGCCGCGCCTCGCGAGCTCCTCCTCCGCGTCGCCCCCCACATATCCCCTCAAGAACCCCCTCAGTCCGATAACCCTCGGCAGCCCCGCCCCACCCCCCCCCCCCGCGCCTGTTCCTCCCATCCGAGCATGATCACCAACAGCAAGCGCGTGCTGCTGCTGCTGCTGCTGCTGCGGCGGCGGCGGCGGCGCGTCATGGTCGAGAAAACCTTCGGTGTCGGTGTCGGTGCCGGCACGGTCATCATCGTCGCCGTCGTCTGACAGTACCACGACCGACGCATGCCCCAGCTTCTCGCTACACCACCGGCAAGCCGCCAGAACCGAGGAGATGGGGGAGGCATGAACGGCAGGCGTGGGAGGTCGGAGCGCGTCGGGAGGGGGCAGAACACTAGTATCCCCTACTCCACCACCCTTAGGGGGTCCTCTCTCGCCTGGGTCGGTGGCCGCGGCGGTGGCGGCGGCGCTAGCGCCGTGAAGGTCTGGGCAAAACTTGTCGAAGAAGACCATTGTGCCCGGAAGGGAGCGGGCGAGCTTGTGCAGGTAGAAGGTAGAACGGGGGGGCGGAAAGAAGAAGCGGCGTGCGTGGCGGGGGGCGCAGAACGCAACGACCAAGGAACGCGTTTGGCGGCGACGCGGTGGTGAAAACTGTGCGTACCTGGCAGCAAGAGTCTGTGAGACAAACTGAGGAACGCATGATCATCGTCGGGCGTGGCCCGCACAACACATGCGAGCTTTCGGTCGGGTTATCATAGGGCAAGACTGCCCCCCCCGAAACGACGAAGCTGTATGAAGGAAAGGGAATGGTCCAGTCCGTAATAAAACCATATGCCAATTGTTGCATGCTGCTGTGTACCGATTCACCCAAACCTGCCCCTCCCCCCCCAAATGGTGCCGTGTCTGGTGCGGGGTAAGCTGCGCTTTCCCGGGAGGGCATCAGTGTTTGCTTTGAAAACGTTCCAAGTATCCTGTTCACTTGTACGATATACTCCAGGCAGCACGCGATCGGTCACCTCACCTGGGAAAGGCGTCTCTCCTGCTTCATCGACAGCGCCCCGGTAGCCCCGGTGAGCTTGCTCAGCTCCGAGTGCAGCAGCAGCAGACAGCAAGGAGGAGGCCGCTCCTGGCCACCTACACCGCCGCCTATCGCGCCGGCCGCTGGTGGCTGTGCTGCGTTGGCGGTGCCGACGGCGGCGGCGGCGGCGGCGCTCCCCCTTTCGCGTTGAAAACAGGCCGCGAAATTCGGCCGATCGAAGAGCTCGAGGTAGCAGTGGAGGAAGTCGGCCGTGGGGCAGACGTAGCTGCAACGCCGCTTGCTGTGCTTCCGGCCGTCCTCGCCTCCACCTGTAGCCTGGAACGAGCACCCCTCTCCCTCTTCTCCTCCTTCTCCTAGGAGCGTGTCTTTCATGCTTACCAGCAGCCTGTCCCCCCTGAGGTACGTCTCTCGGATGCGCATAGCCCCCGTCCCCCCTCGCTTGGCTGCCCCTTGCTTGCCCGAGCGGACCTGCGCGGCGCCAGCAGCGCGCTAGGCGTCAGTTCTGCACCCATATCACCTAGCAATAATCCGCACTGCTACAAGCCTAGCTCACAATCTTTTGCCGACACGGCCGACTTGAGCAGCGTGCTAGCAGAATCACTATCGCACCCATTTAGCGGATAATCGGTATGGACCCACGCGACCTAGGCAAGCTCACAACAATGTTCTTATGCATCTCATGGCCGATGCGACTGAATTGTCATCAACTCAGGTGCTGGAATCGACGTCCGTGGGTGAACACTGAGTTGACTCCAAAGCCGCGGGTAGTCTTTGGCATCTTTCGGTGCCAAGCCGGACATGGACAAGGTTTACGTACGCACAACTCACCGAACTCCCTGTACGGATGATTTATGACTCCTGCAGAAAAGAAACGAGATTCTGCTGCCGGCACTGGTAACGTGCATCTGTACGGCCAGACACCCGTGGTGCGTACGAGCACGTGACGTATTGCATCGCTTGACCTCGCGTGTCGATGGGAGCGGGCTCTACCTATCGACACATCTACCTCCATCTACCTATCAATCTCATCCACCTATCTGCACAACAGTCACCTGCGAAGTTTGACTGTTCGGCTGTGTGTAGTTGTGTTGCTTGGTGCACCTGTGTGCCTCTGGGTCCCTTTATTTTCTGATTCATTTTTCGAGGCGTATATCCTTGATGGGTAGTTGTCCGCGTGTTATCATCGACGACGTCCGCGTCAGCCGGATCGGTACGGACGTTAGGTACTGAGCAGAGACCGCAGCATTCAAATGTAAAGACAACCCAAAAGCCAGGAGCTTTGACCGTTTTGTGGGTAGACGGAACCAGGGGAACAACACTAAATATTCCACATCCTGCCGCTGTGGCTAGACTTTTTCGGGGCCCCATGTCACAACAACAATGGTTGCTGAACACGACTCACGAGGTTTTAGGGCAGATCGCCGCTCTTGTTGCATGTAGGTGTTTCCTTTCGGAGACATCCTGCTGAATTGACATTGAGCCAATTAAGTCGGCCGACACTAGGGGGTGTAATTTTACGCAACTCAAAAAAGCATGCACTGCCGCAAAGCATATTGCTCTCCACCAGCTGGAATGCCCCGCGAATCGCCCGGCAGTGATGGCTGCAATGCGGCAGGGGTTGAGTTAACAGTAGGCGGTATGGATACCGCGCAATACTGCTTCCACTTCTGGGTGTTTTCGACCCATTTCTCTGTTCAAACGTTGAAAAACGCGGCCCATCTTTCTTGCTCACTTTTTCTTATGAGGCGAACTGGCTTTCTCGAATGAACGAAGCACATTTTCACTTACCACGAATCCTCTCGAGACATCAGCACCGAGCAGGAGAGACGCACATGGCTTTTCTCCTTCCTGAACAGGTTCCATGAGTACTTTGGCCCTTACTCACACCATGCACTGCGTGCAATACTGCTGAACGGCGTCAACCGATGTCGCGAGGGGGGCCGACAGAGTCGATGCCCTCGATAGGTGTTCATATGTGTTTTGGCAGCATGCTGAACATTTTGGAGGAAGTCTGCGCGCCTCGTGTTATCACGCAGGTCTTGGTGAACAACGACCAGGCAGATTGTAGTCGCCCCAGCGCCAACACAACGTGTGCTGGTGAAAAAAAGACCAACCACGAACCCCGAGATGCCCCTCTAAACTTTGGATCCAGAAGCCGAGCGTCAAGCAGCTGCTTCAACACGCTACAATTCAGATCCAAGGCGCGGAGGGATTTCGTCCAAAATAATAAGATCCGCCGTGTTGTTCATCCCTCTGTGGCTAAACCGCTAGACCACGCGATGGCGGCAAGCGTAGCCAAAGGCGATGAAGATGCCATCGAGAGTGGACCGCATGCGAAGGTGAGCAGGATCTAACGTCGGGTTTAGATTGGAAGGCCTGCGAAATAGGCCTCACTTGTGTGTGTACAGCAGTAGCTTCGACACACGCGATCCCCTCACATACCGCCGTTGGTGCATGTACTGGGGGCTGCCCTCGGCCGCAAGAACGCCACCACAGCCAGAATCTGTCCAGGCCAACAGCTACCAAGTGATGTAGAGGGGATATGTCAGGCTCGGAAGGAGCGCTTCTCGTTCGTCAACACCGAAATTAGGCTCAGAAGAAGCAGGCGGAAAAAGACAGAAAGTGTAGACCCTGCACACGTAAGAACGCCTCGAGTTTGCAGCACGCACGTGTGGAGCATAGGCAACAAAGAGATCCACGCATGCACCGCCAACAACAACATTACACATTACCCGTGGCGAGAGCTTTCATAATACTGCGCCCCCTCTCTCGTGACCCTAAACTTGTGTGACGGTTGCAGTCACCGTCGCAGCCACAGATCATGCCCGCTGACAAGCTAGTGGACAGCATTTTTCGTACTCTTTCCTGCACTGACGGCAACAACAGCAACAGCAAGAGCAACGGCAGCAGCAGCAATGGCAACAACGACAACGAAGTCGGCGGAATCAATGTAACGGGCCCGGTTGGCGGAGGGGGCGATACGAGAGAAGCACTCAAGGAGCTGGTAGGACGGCCCGCCCTTCTTTTCTCGTGTTGATGCCTCACAGTCTCGTTCGTCATATCAGCAGCAGTGTGTACTACGCATTGTAGTCTATGCGTGTGAGCTCAACTTCTGTGGTAGGAGCACTCCGAACCTGAGTTGTCCTGAATGAAATAGCGTTGCTCATGTGAGTGTTGCAATTTCCCCTCTCTCTGCTCAATTAACACACGCTACCATTGAGTATCTTACGGGATCGATCAGCGCGGCGGCGGCGGCGGCGGCGGCGGCGGCGGCGGGGTGATACTGAAAGTCAGACACAAGTACTGTAGTTTGTCTCTCGACGCTGCTGAACAGGGCGCAGCGTACTCGCTGACGGGCATGTACCACAACAGACCAGGAGTGAGTGATTCAGCTACTTTCTGGCGACTTCGGCCGTCTCACAGAGCTGTGGCTTTTGGCTAGGAAAGACGGACGCGCACAACAGTCCCCGGTCGTCTGGTCGTGATCAAGCAGCACACAGCGCGCGGTGTCGGGCAACTTAAACAACGGGGAGCAACACGCGGCACGTGTTTTCGGCGCGCACAAGATCATACCTCAGTCCGTCCCTTCTTGTCGATGAGGCTTGTTCTCCCCGCCCCCGTCCGTGACCCCAGATTCTGGCTGTCCAGGGCAAGCTCGAAGACAAGCTAGCTCCACCTCCGGCACGTCGAGCCCAAGGGGCGTCACTTGCTGTTGCTGTCCCTAACGCTGCCGCGACGGCTGCATCTGGTCGCGTTCACCGTCAAGAAAAGTGTGTCTACCTGAAGGTAGGGAGGCAGGGCGACGCTTGCCGATACGTTTCCGTGAGCGTTGCACTCTACCGTAGCTTGGCGAGGGGCGAGGTACGTAGGACAGGTTTGGCGCACGGCTATGCAACAACTTGCTTCGCAGCTTCGGGTGACACTGCGGTCGTGAGTGCTTTTTCTTCTTGTGTCTCACGTGCATCGCGGGGAAGCCAGCTACGGTACACTCGACATCTTGTCGCGCGGTGGGATTTAAGTGTTTGCTTGATCTTTCTGAAGATCTATTGTTTTAGATGCTGTGATTAAGAGTTCGATGCTTTTCCCATGGGACACTTACGCTGGTGTTCAGAGGGGCAGGTTGGACATCAACTACAACCTGTGTGTGTGTGTGGGGGGGGGGGTTGGGAGGCCGAGTTCGACCTCAAACCCATTTTTTTTTACGCTTGCAGCCCGCCGTGTTGGTTGAAACAACACCACGATCCGAAATCCAGGGTAACTTGCACAAATTGGGCTGTCACCTCCCTGCAAACTCCCCCGCCCAAGGTCGTAGTCCTAACTTACCTACAACCTGCCTCTGCCCACCAGTGTACTGTTGCCTAGTTTTTCTCAAGCCAGCACCGGACCTGTGTGTGGGTTTCCTTGTTGTTCGACTGTGGTTGTGGGAACAGTTCTTGAACTATCTGCCACTTGCATAGAAACCGTGCATGGCAGGGTAATCGTTCAGTTGCTCCAGGGGGTTGTAGGCTTAGCGACTTTTTACGTTTGTGTCGTGTTCGCGAAACGACGAGCGACAGCTACTCCCGACCAAAGAATACCACACTACTACAATCGCCACCATCGCCCTGGCAACTGCCCTTGCCAACAGCGATAGCAGCAGCAGCATCACGACAACAACTAGCATAACATTATCGTCGCCATCAACAACAATAACGTCTGTTTTTCGTCCGTTGCGATACTATGGTGCAGGTGACGGTTGTGGAGGGACGTGCGTTGGTTGGAGAGCTAGCGAATGAGCGGACCACGTCCTCGGCCCTGTACAACTTCTCAGTTGATCTGCAGTTCAACGCTCAGGTGATTTCGTCTGTCCGTCTGTCCGTCTGTCCGTCTGTCCGTCTGTCCGTCTGTCCGTCTGTCTGTCTGTCTGTCTGTCGGCAGAATGCATGCACGTATCGTAACGTTTTCGGCAAGACTCCCCACCGCTCGATGCAACTGCGCTTGCTAAATTTTCTTGCGACTGTGCTTTGCTATTTGAAGTCATCACACGAAAGGTCGTCTGGCACGCTCCTTGCGAGTGTTCCCTTGCCTTTCTTCCGAAGTAGACAACCGACCTCTTCCGCCTTCTCACAACCGTCTCTCCCTCTACTACGTATGTTCTTTCGTACATATTGTTGCGATTTTTCATTATCATCACGGAAACGCCTACCTACTCAGCGAGCACGAACCCGGAACGAAGTCCGCTGCTGCGTAGAGCCGAGCTTTGGGTCTGAGGGCTTCGTTTTCGTTCTGAGGGAGGCCCACGAGCTGCCAGTGACTGCAGGGGGATGGGTGAGACTGACGCCTATAAGAGAACCCCATTCACCCACACCAAGCAAACGAATCGGTCACAGCTTCCTTTGATTTTCTAGAGACGAGGTAGCTGAGGTCTCTCTAGCCTTCAGGGCGGCCGGTGTGAGAGACGGCGTGGCGATGGGTTAGAGGTGGTGAGCTACTCTGTACGGTCACTCTTGAGGCCTGCATAGAATACGATATGGCGTATCTCTCCGGCGACTGGAGTCTTGCAGTCCGGATTGTGTGGCGGCGGTTGTGTTGTGCCAGCGATGCAAAGTGTGGGTTGGCAAATTCGCATCGGCAATGGATGCCATGCCGGTGGAGCACGAATTTTCGAGATTCTCTACGACCGTTCGTAAATAGAAGCAAGCACCATCGACCTCGGTTTTCTTGTCGACAGACTCCTGGCGGCTGTCTCGTCAGTACAGTAGCTGATTCCGGCCATCGCCCCTAAATGGCGCTCATGCAGAAGCGTAGGTGTGTCTCGGATCTGTTTGTGGATGGAGTAGTCTTGAGCAGCGCGGCGATAGAGAACGTTGTGAGTATTTGCACGCCCTTCGCGGCAGGCACATCACACAACAATTTTGGTTTATTGTTTGTTTGCAAGGCTACATGGGGGGGGGAGACCCTCCTCGACTTGGATGAACGGTGTTTCACCAGCCCTTTCTAGATCTCCCTCCCTCTCTCTCTCTCTCTCTCTCTCTCTCTCTGTGTCTCGCTGTCTCTCTGTCTCGCTGTCTCTCTCCCCCTCTCTCTCTCCCCCTCTCTCTCTGCTCCTGCAGGCATCGTTCCTACAGACGGACTTGCCCCTGCACGTGGCTCTCACGAAGCACAAGGTGTCTCGCATCAGACCAAGGCCTCTCGACCCCCCCGTACAGTCGGGGGCAGGCGCCGTCAACGGAGACGGAGACGGCGGAGCCCCTGGCGCAAGGGGTTGCCAAGCCGCTGTCGCGGCGGAGGAAGATGAGCATCCGGTGTATGCCCTTTTCTCGAAAGATGTATCCAGGCGGGGAGAGCTCGTCGGCTCGGCGGAGGTAGATTGGCGGTGAGTTGATCTGCTGCTGCTGCTGCTGCTGCTTGTTACGAATGGGACGGGAGGGGAATTAGCATGGAACCGTTGCTGGTCGAGAAGCGGTAATGAGGGACCTCAGCGAGTTTCTGGTATTACTAGCCGATCTTTGCCAATGGGGGCTACATACATGTCGTTGTCGAGCGAGGAAGGAACGCAAGGGCTTGAGAGAATGCTGTCGGGGCTGGCGATGTCAACGAGAGCTGCAACGATTCTTGATACTGTATCCTGGCAACGCGTGTTTCTTTTTCCTGGTGGTGCCAAAGAGGCTACGAATGTCGCGAGGAACACAGAGAGAGGTCTTGGAAGGGCACTTTCGCCTTGCCCCAACAACTTAGTGAACCAATCCAGTGGAGAGGAACCTTACGATAGCGTGGAAGGGACTCGCTGTGGGAATATTTCCAAGACTTGTGAAGGAGGGCTTAGTCAAGCGAACAGAAGAGAGGAAAGCGTCGTTCGCATCCACAGCCGCGCACGCGGTGATTGGCGGAACCGCATTCGTTACCTTGAATTAGGTGTTACCATTTGTCAAAAGAGGCTGCCCTTTGGTTGGAAGTGATCGAGGGAGGATCTTGTGGAAGCCGTTGGGTCCAACCGCTGCGGTGCAGACCTCCATGATGCAGCCGGTCTCCGTTGCTTGCGACCGACTAGGTATATGGAACGACGTCCTTGGGCAACACAAGTCGCCGCCTAAGTTGGAGTACGTATGCGAGCGTGTCTTCTCCATTAAGGTACATTCCTACACGTGCTATCCCTCCACGCTCCTTTTGAATCCCAGACGTGCGTTGGTGCCAGCCAGCGGGGCCCAAGAAGGCCTGCACAAGAGCGGCGGCGTTCTCCTCGCGGTGGAGCTTGCCTCGGCCGCGCCGGACTCTATCGTACACCCAGGTGACGCGATTGAAGCTCACTACTGGCGATCGACCATGCGGTGTATAACAGCCCCGATTTTCTTCCCCTCTCTGTGGATCTCGAGGGAATCCCGCAACCGCTATACACGGCTTTTTGCTTTTTTACCTTGAGAGATCTTGGAAATGTTTTTTTTGCGGCATAGAGACGACCTGATCTCGCGTGCCTCACCAACGAAGCACCACAGGGAACACGGTGATCGAGCACTTGCTGTTGGCGTCGGGGAGCTGATCAAGTCATCTTGAATCGGTCGGTCTGGCCAGGCTGTCCTGTCGGCGTGTCCCCGACGATCCAAGATGCCAATGAAGAACAGTAGGGGGTCATCAGTGTATTGCGACGGCTTTCCCTGCTTTGCCACATCCTTTCAACGGCCAGTATTTCTGGCGATTCTTTGCTGTGTTGTTGATCGTCTCGGTTCACGAACTGCCAGAGGCGCGTGCGTGCCTTCATCTTCATTCGCTTATTCGCGCGATATGTTCGTCGCTTTTCTCTTTCTTACTGTTTGTCCCATACCCTATCGGGTGCCTTATAGGCCTTGTCGGCGTTGGGATTCGACGTGTACGTTTCCGGCTGTTGTAGGGTCCCGAGGGTCCCCGGCACGTACATTGTGTATTGTAACGGGGGCATCGAACTTCGTCCGTAACACCGACTGGTTATCGACCAAACGCATCACCGACCGTTTATCAACACCAACAAAAATCGTAGCAACATCAACATCAACACTAAAACAAGAACAACAAGGCAACGACGACGTCGCACCTCCCAAACAAACTTGACCCCGTTGTTCCAGTCGGAGGTATTCTTCACCTTCGACTCGAGGTGGTCGCCCCTCCAGAAGTGTCGGCTTTCCCCTTCAAGGCCGACGATGTCACGAGGATCATGGACTTTCAGGCAAGCATGCGGTTATTCGCCGTTCTACTTCGCGTGCTGCAGCATGTTGTTGGCTCTCAATCATTTGTGCCCTTCACGCACCGGTTTCGCGGCGACTCCCGTCCTGGGGGCGTTTCTCCTTGTTCCGTTCCACAACCCCAAAAACTCGTTCCTTTGGGGTCAAGGCGTGGTTTGACAGTTAGGCTTTCTATCAGAGGGTTGGATGCGGACACGGTGCGCAAAATTCGAGCGGAAATCTTGTGTTGTCGATTGATACGCGCCGTCTGGTGGCCAATGAAACGCGTCGCTGTGAGCGTGACCGAGGTTTCGAACTCGCTTCCTCATCTGTAAGCGCGTGTGATCGCTTTTCTTTTTATGTTCTGTCGTTATTCGCAGGCTTCGGTCCGCAGCGAGGCGCGGCGGGACTTTTACCTGTACGCGAACGCGTGGTGGAAAGGTTTCAGCTCAACGTCGAAGGTTCTAAGCAAGAGGTACTTTTATGAACGGGGTCACCGTGGGTCCTCAAAGGCAGCGAAATTTCCCAAACGCGAAGCACCCCCCGTCGATTCGATGCGATCGAATACTGCTGCTGTTGTTGTTGTTGTTGTTGTTGTTGTTGTTGTTGTTGTTGTTGTTGTTGTTGTTGTTGTTGTTGTTGTTGTTGTGGTTGTCGATGAGTGGAGGCGATGGAAGTGCTTCGGACTGAAGTCGCCTGGAGCACAAACGTGTGGGGCGCGGGCCAAGCGGATATGCTATTGAAATGGAGTGTTGGCTTCCAGTTAGTGTGATCTCTGTGATCTCTGTGATCTCTGTGATCTCTGTGATCTCTGTGATCTCTGTGATCTCTGTGATCTCTGTGATCTCTGTATCTGACTGTTGTGGACTACTTGTCTGTCCGGAACCCCTCTGGCAGTGGTCACGATATGGATATTCTACGATGACACACATGTCGCACATGCTTTGTTTCGGTCCCATGCATGCTTTTGTTTAGATCCGCCAAGTCCGTTGCAGAGGGAAAACGACGGCAAGGACAACACAGATGCAAACATTTCTTAGTGCCTCTGAATCACTCTTTTGGCCTCAAGAGCAAGTTTGTGTCATATTCATTGTCACAACGTGTATTGAGGGAGACCAAGCAAGTTATCAACAATAACAAGTGCAAGAGGCAGTTCGGCGTCTCTCTTCCCCTCTGCGGTGTTTTTTTTGTGTATCAGTCATCGTCTCTATGGAGACCAAGTGACAACAACCTATACGATTGTAAGGAGTCGCACCAACAGCAATCCGCGATCCAACAGCAGTCTGTGATAATGAGAACGAGGCGTAACGTGAAAGTGAAGCGTGTGGCAATAAACTACAGTAAACAGTTGTTGACCTCTTGTGCCTGGGTCTATTTTTCGGCCGTTGTTGTTGTTCGTTTTTTTTCCAGATCCGTCAAGATCTTTGCAGAGGACGAGCGAGGACAGCACCGCTGCGTGTGCTCGTTTCTCGAACCCTATCGTCAGGGCCGGATGCTGCCCACACCGAGGCACGCTGCAAGGTGATTCCCAGCCCTGTTGGCAATGATATCCAAGCTGTTTTCGTACCACATACATCGGACATTGTTCGGCGCGGGTTTGCCGTGATTTTTGTTTGGCGTTGGAAGGTGGTGAGGACGTGACCTTTTTCTTGTCGATGCTCAGCCCTTCCATGACTACAGTTTCCTTTGCAGCGCCGAAACACGCAAGGACGCATCCTCATCGATGATTCGTGTGTCTACCTCCGCAGCTTTGCGTACACGTGCAAGTAAAGGTTTGAGCATTTGTCATGCGAGAGCCAGTTCTTAAGAAGGAAGCATCCTAACAAAGTCAGACCGGCTCAAGTCACGTAAGGGTTAAGTCTACTTTGATCCAACTTAGGCCGTGGCGCCCACGCCCGGGCGCGCGATCGATGGTTTCACCCTGCGGGCGTTTCTGTGTTTCTTGTTTCCAAAACGTCAAATCATCATGAGTTTCCGTTTGCTGGGAGGAGAACGCGCGAAGCACCCACCTGCTTTCTGGCTACTACGCAAACGCGACACCGCCACCACTTCTCGAAAAACCTCGCGCGGATAATACAACAGGTTCGTCTCCCTCCTCCCCTTCCGGTCCCGCTCCACCGTGGGAGAGCAGCCGCCGGCCACGCAGAGGGCGTGGAACTCCCCCCACGCTTTCCTGGCTGCGGGGACCGGGGACGCCTCGGACCACGCGCTGCTGCTGTGCTCCCTCCTGCTCGGCTTTGGCCTGGACGCGCTCGTGTGCTGCGGCCTGGTGCACCCCAGCGACGATGACAACGGCGAAGGCGATGCCTCCGGAGCTGAGCCGGGGGGGGGCGGCGTACGGGGAGGGGACTCCGACGGAAACCGGGGGGAGGAAACGGGGCACATGGTAAGGAACGGGAATAAAGGGGTTAAGGGCCATCAGCGATTAGTTGAAAGCACCGCAGTCACACGTCCTCGGGGTTTCGGCGGATATTCCTCGAGATACCACGGTGAAAGTCCGGCCGTCAGCAAGGTACCATACCACGAACTTACATGCCTGCGGCCGGCTTGAGCACAACGACAACGCACGTCTCCCCCTCCCCCTCCGCTCGGGCGGTCCGAACGACTCGTCTATTCCTCATCGGTACTGGCAATGGCGTGCACAACAACAGTGGGTGTGCACCTTCAGCGGCAGTCGAGCGGACAAGAAAGCGGTTTTCTGGGAGTCTCTGACCGGACAACGTTTCGCCATGAGCGCTCCACGGCCGAGGCCTTCTAGAGGCAAGAATTGTTTCCGGACCTGTAGCAGCTACCTAAATAGAGCCACAAGAAAATAACGCGACAGACCTGCGCGGATGTTTCGTGCGTACGTCACTACCCCCTCCCTGTTTTTTTTTTTTTTGCGGGGCCTCTGTTTCGGGAATCGTATCGCGTGCCTCTTCGTGCTCCGTCTCCACCGTGGCGTTGTATCTTGAGCATTTTTGAGCACTTTCGAAACATTTGTCTGGGACTTGCTACTGCATCAGTCCGTCGATCCCTCCCGTCTCTGTCCTCCTCCCTCTCCACTCCCTTTGACGCAACGGCGTTTAGCAACGGCGTACGTAAGCCAGAGGCTCCTCGACGGGACTGTGTCAAACTCGCTGCTTTTCGTTATTCCTCTCTGGTCGATGTATCTCTTCTGTCCTTTTCATCGTGGTGTGTGTTGCCCTCGTGCGTAGGGCGCAGAGCAACACCGGGAAAGATGGCCGTGACCCCGCGGCACTTCAGCAAGGTCTCGTGCATGTTCAACCACCGGGAGTTCTTCGCCAACAAGCAGGTCAGCTTGCACGGAGGCGGCCTTATCTTCCTTTCTTTTCCTTCCTGCGTGCTCTGTGGCTTTAGCGGGAGCTGTTTGTTGTTGTTGTTGTTGTTGTTGTTGTTGTTGTTGTTGTTGTTGTTGTTGTTGTTGTTGTTGTTGTTGTTGTTGTTGTTGTTGTTGTTGTTGTTGTTGTTGTTGTTGCTGTGGTTGCCTTCCCGCATGTGTGCGACGCCTTCCCGCATGTGTGCGACGCCTTCCCGCATGTGTGCGACGATTCCTCTACTCGGCGTATGCGTTTTCCGTCCTGTATCGTTTCCATCGATGGTGGTGGGCTTGGCTTACTTCAAGCGATCACACAGGTGGTCGACTTCAGAGTGAAAATCGCCGGTGCTGCTCCTTCGGAGTCAGTCTTTCGCGCTTGATGTAGCACATCAGAGTGAGACTGTGGCGACGGAGCCTTGGTTGTTCGTCCTCCAAGGGTTCAGACGAGAAAATGCTGAATTGAACTCAGAACGGTCTCAATGGAAAGACAGAGCAATGAATGAAAACAAACTATTGCTGATACATTATTCGTAATTGACCGCCTTTGCACGTGTATAGAGTGTTGTCGTGATTCACATCTTGTCGCCTTCGTGTATGGATTCCGATCTGGCCAGTCGGATAACAGAGTGGGAACCACGTCCCTGGACATCTCCGACCCCAAGATGTGGAAACCCATGGATTCTTCCAGGATCGTTCCGAAAGGTGAAACTCGGCCGGTAGTCATTCATTCCCCCATCCTTTTCGCCGTTAGCGCGGGCGCCCATCTTCGCGCCACAAGAAAATGTTTTCGGTGTTTTGTTTCGCTCTGACTTTCCGTGGCGGCTTGTCGGGCATTTTTGAAAAGCGGCGGAAGTCAGAGATTTCCGACTGATCTCTCCGGTGTTGGCAGAGGTCCGTCCTGTATGACTACAGTCTACATAGTATCCACGATGCGTACATCTTTCTGCTTCGTGCGGCTGACCTCCGGACGGACTACATGCTACAAGCGTGTGCTCACCTGCTGCACCAATAGAGGTCGAGGGACGCATATGGCACTTACATTTCATTCATCCTGTGCACGCTTCTCCAGGCTTCTTCCGTACTGTACTCGCCATGCACAAAGTATGACTCTCGTTATCTGCGTCACACTGCGGGGTGGACGGATGATCCTGAATGTAATCAACCGTAGGTATGTCCTACACGGCGTCGGCTGGCCCAGCTGGCGTGGTTCTACTCCGGCCAACCCTGAACACGGACGTCATCGCGGAAGGCGTCGAATCGGAGGTGAAGCGGCGTGTCGCGGCGTGGCGGGAGGGCAAGGGCTGGCCCACGGTGAGATCAGGAATGGAATCCAAGTAGCTCTATAGGAACGGCCTGCATCCAACTGCAAGTGGTTGTGTTGCAGAAGAGCCACTCTCCATGCGGATATTATGTTATTGGTGACTTCTTTTTTTGATTGTACGGGTCCTGATCGCGGCGTTGTTTTCGTCCGTCGCGCTCGGTCGAAGGTGTGGGACGATGCCCTCGGCTACCTGCTGGGGCCTGCGGTGTTCGCCTACGAGCAGGAGCGCGTGTCCGGAGCCTCCTTCGGCGGCGACGACTTCCAGGATGCCGTTCAAGGGGCAGTTCCAGACAGGCAAGCAGGCCACAACACGTGTACAAGACAAGATTTGCATTGTTATTTTTCTCCCTGGTTCATTCAAAGGTTCGCTGGGGGCTCTTCGATTCAAGCAGACCTTAGTCCATGTAAGACTGCATAACATGCTTCATATTGGTACGTTCGTTCGGATGTTGGCTGTGCTCTTCGGTGAAGAATACGTCAGCTGTGTGGGCTTTTAACTTCGGAAAATTCACACCTGGCAGCCGGCTGTGGCCTGGTCCTGTTGCCTGCGTTTATTGTGGTCTGGCATCACTCCTTTGAGTACACTGTGCTCTCGTGAGCCCACTCCAGAGGGGTCACTCTTTCTGTTTTTGTCCAGTACTTACCTCGTAGATGTATCTATGTATGGATGCGAACGTCACGCGTTCTAGGTGAGCCAGTTTCGCTGTTGTTTGTGCCGTTGCTCATCGTGTGGCAGGCACTCGATTCACGGCCACCAAACCCACCGGCAGTGACAATATTCTGGTGTGAATATATCAACTACGTGTGAAAATGTATAGTGTGAAGGTGCCCTATACGCAAGGGTCTTGCAAAGAAGGCGTTGAAGTCCGTAGGAGGTTGTACGATCATTGTTGCCGCACTGGGATTTTCTTTGTTTGCCTGCCGGTGGCACTGGAGCCTAGCTCAGCTCAGTTTGACTCGATCTAAGTAACATGAAACCAACATGTTTTTCACGCTTGACTTGACTTTTCTGAGCATTCGCTTTCTTTGAACCCGGTACCAATATCTACCTTCATTCGTTCCATAATCTGCTTTTTCTTTGCGGTAATGCCATCCATGATGTTGGCATAGTCTGTTTACTTTGCCATGTAGTCCCCATATCTTGATGTTGTTTGGTCATAGTTTTGAATTCCTCCATTGGTTGTTGGTCCACACGCTGCTAACAACAATAAAACACGCCGCTATGTAGTCCCGATATCTTGATGTTGTTAGGTCATGGCTTTGGATTCCTCCACTGCTTGCTGATCCACATGTTGCTGAGAACACTCAAGCGTGTCTGCTTGATCTGCTGTAGTGTTCTCAGTAACATGTGAACCAGCAAGCAATGGAGGAATCCAAAGCCAGCGCCGAACTACATCAAGATATCGGGACTACATGGCGGAATGAACAGACTTTTGTATGCCAAAACCATCGACAGCATCTCTGCAAAGGACGATAACGTGATGAAGAGTATGAAGGAATATGTAAAAGTTGACTGTCCATGATCCTGGCATAGTCTGTTTATCTCACCATGTAGTCCCAATCAGTCCCGATAGCTTGATGTTGTTTGGCCATGGCTTTGGACTCCTCCATTGCTTGCTGGTCCACACATTGCTGAGAGCACTAAAGCATGTCTGCTCGATCTGCTTTAGGATTCTCAGTATTCAAAAGTATGACCGAACAACATCAAGATTTGGGGGCTAAATGGCAAAATGAACATAATGCCAGGATCATGGACAGCATTACGGCAAAGAAAGATAGCATGATGGAAAGTATGAAGGAATATATTCAAGTTCAACGTTAGCGGACGCTCAAAGAAGTCAAGTCCGACGTGAAAGGCATGGCTTCAAACTACTTGGATCTTGTCACATTTGAATTAACACAAACAGCAATAAGTATTGCAGCACCCAAATGCACGGAACAAAAGCTGGCAAGAGTAGTTGAACCAACAGTTAAGGTTGTAGAAAGGAGAACGAACGTATTGCAACATCACACACGCGCGCCGAGAATGTTTGGTGTGACACCATAGTTTGGGAAGTCAGGAATGAAGCTTTTTGGGTCTCGTCCCTTCCTAAGTGTGCTTCCAGCGTGCTTCCACACCCACGCAAAGTGTTTTTTTCAAGATATGACAAATTTCGCAGACGATGTGGTTCCTCCACCATCGCGCGATTGAGAGACGGCTCATCGTTTCGAGTTGTGCTCGTTCGTCTCAGGCACTGCTTCAAGGGCTACCCCACGTGCTTCGACCATCTGTCCTGCAGCAAGATGTTGGCCTCCCTGCTAGACCGCACGGTCGCCCGCGACATTCTGTCCTCAAAGAGAGACCATCTCAGGCAAGCATCTGGCTCCAGCGCTCGTCGCGGTTTTCATTCTTGCAGCTGCTGCTTCTTTGGTGGTAGCATCGGTTGTTTGTCGTCGTGTTAGTAGTGGCGATGGCAGTGAGTGGCAGTAGAGCCCTAATTCAATCATCGGCCCAATCTGTTCGAAAGTGGTCTTAAGCCTACGTGTAGTGCACATGCGAACTTGGATGATGTCGTGACCCACGCGCTTCCGGATGTTTGGTGCACGTATTTTGTTTCACTGGGCAACTCGGGTGGCTTGGAGTTTCCGCGGTCTTGTTCCCACCCTTTGCCACAAAACCCCGGACTTCCGTGCAATAGGCTGACCTTTCGACCGGGTGATGCTTGCAGCCGAAGGTCACGATGCTATCGTTGCCTTGACGTCGAAGGGTATCCTCAAACCATCGTTTTTCTTGAGATACGCCCCCTCATGTCAGACTTTCATTCACAAGTTCGGTGGCTTTGTTGCATATCCTCGTGCCCTGTTTCCGCACCGGCATTGCCTCATGATACACCTCTCAAATGGTATGCTACTTTTCTCGTGTTCTTTATTCTGAAATTCTCAATTCTCGCGCAATCTCGCGCTTTTTTCGGTTTGGTCTTGGATAAACCTTGTCGTGTATTATAGACGCTGTCCGTGTCTGCTCTCTCGTGCACTTTCGACGCCCTTTCCGTGGAATCCATTGCTTGGCGGTATCTCATGGGATTTGTTCTACTGAGCGGTTTGTATCCCATCGATTGGAAATGGTCCAAAACCTTGGTGAATGTTCAAAACCAACGCTTGGAATCACCTCGGGAGCAGAAGTTGCGGTGATGAGTTCCGAATCAACGGGACTCTCCTGACGATGTTACCTCCCAAACCATCTTGGCAGCTTCCTAAGAATTCCACCCTTGATTAATGTGTGGAGAACAAGAGCGCAGTTGGAAACGGCCCTATTGCTGCGCATGTACCGCGTACGATGATGATGCAGGTTTGCCCTACGGTCATCGGTGTTCGCATATCCTGATGGGGCCCTCGCCGTGTGGCTCATGCTGGCCTGTCGCTTCGAGGGGGCCACCAACTAGGTTGATGGCGTAACGATTGTCCTAGTACGTGAACTCGGCTGCGGGTGTCTCTCTCTGTAATGTTCTGAGCATCAAGGGCCACGGCTCCAAGTACGTCCCGCGTCGTTAACGTTGCGCATGGCGTATCTCGATTCTACGAAAGGCTCAATTTTTCGTCTCGAGCGTTCGGCGGCGCGTTCACCCAGATGTTTGCCCTCAAACATTTGTCGAGAATAAGCAAGCCAATGAATCTAGACTACAGGACAGAGTCCGCTTTTCTTCTCTCTGTTGAACAAGTGTTGCGCCATCACCCTGCATGATTTTAAGCTGTGCATCGACCCGAACACACCTACTGTTAGCGCCCGCACTCCCACCTCTAGTTTTTGCCGCGGCTGGGGTTCGTACCTCCTAGAGCCTTATACTGCGAGTGGCCGCTAATATCTTGGTTCTGTGTTGGAGCCGTCCTTAATACTAGTGCTCAAGGCTCTAGAATGTGAGTCTTTAAAAAAGGCTCATGTTCTTCACTGCGAAGTTCTTAAGTGCGGGCGCGAACTGTATTCATGTGTTAAATGTCTTCGCGGTCGGCGGCTATGCGAAAATACTGCCCTTGTGTGAAGAAAGAACTGCCAGAGCGGCCGGTTTCGTTCATGGGACTTCTCTCTCTTCTCTTTCCTGCTGCGCCGTCTTGGATGTAGGCTTGTGGATGTTGAAAGTATCGTATGGATTCTCGAAAAAATGTGTTGTCGGCTGTTGTCGAAAGGATATGTCCCTGTTTTGATGCGTGCTCTCTCCTCCGCAGTGTGTCGCGCGAGTAGAACTTGCGCATATGTGTGGCAATGACCGAAGATGTAGCTAAGCGGCGCACCTCGATTGTGCAGTCTTACAGTCACGGAGGTCAAAGGCAAAACTCACGGCTGCGTGTGGACTTTGACATAGACATAACCTGAACAGCTGCTGTGCATACGAATATTTCTACGGCACGGCTTCCTCCATGCTACGAAACAGGCGATCTCCCAACAAAACTATGTGTTGTACAAAATTTCCGAACCCTCTGGTATCCGATTCTCATCCCCCTCAGTAGACAGCCCCTCGAAAGACCAAACAGACCCACCAACGAATCAAGACACCTCCTTTGAGAAAATGCCTTTCACGACTGGATGCAAACTCATCAAGTTTTGCTGCTCCCGACATTGCCAAGTAATCTAAACATCTGGACTAGACTATACTCGGAAATACTCATACAATGTTAACGTCCTACACAGAGAAGTGTAAACTCATCCTAAGAGGTTCCTAAGAAAAACAGAATCTCAACTTGTTGACCGATCGATTTCAAACAACCTTGGGAAACGCTGAAGCCTCAAAATAATAGCGAACCAAAACATGTCAAATCATTCCTCAAAAATACTTAAATACGAAACAGACAGATGAAGTCACTCGATGTGTTCTGAAACATGAAGGAAACCTACCACAACTGCGGATACCTACACATGAACCGATCAAAGCCTCCCTGCCGGGTCATCCTCCGATGACATACATCCCTAGAGAAGACTCTCAAAAGCAATGCACGTATGGTACTACCGTAGAAGACCGTGCAAGAATCAAACCAACACCCTACGAAATGCCAAAAAAATGCTTGATGTATTGCAGCGAGGATCATGGTAAGACCCCCCCCCCTCATGGTTGTTCATTGCAGCTCAACTAGCAGTGACTCCGCACAGCAGTGCCCACGAACTCTGCATTCCCAATACTTCCACCTCATGAAAACAAACACCAAAATCTATGTAGCGAAAAGCCAAAACGACGGCAGAAACGGACTGCCAGAAAAGACAGAAATAATATAACACGACCAACAACCGTAATTGGAATACACAACGCGGTTCTGCGACATCGCCAGCGGAACGTGTTCCCCGGTACCCCCCCCCCCCCCCCCC